TACTGATGGCAGCCATCTTCTCAATCACCCAAATTCAATCTGATCACCTCCTATCATTGAACTAGCAGCCAAGATCTGTCTATTCTGTTTCCTAAATATTTCTCACATATATCTTCTTCCCAATCCTACCACAAGCACTAAGATTTCAGCAGATCTTGCCTTGATGATTGTAATCAACTCCTAAGGTGTTTCTCAGTTTCCATTCTCCCCTCTCTCCTATCGAGTCTTCATAGGACTTCATGTCATCCCCAATTACTGCTTTGTTCATGCTGCTCCTCTACTCAACACTCTTCATTGATTTCTCATTGATGACCAAATAAATTATAGACTCCTTATTAAGGCATTCAAGGCTCTTTGTAATATATCCAACTTACCCTTGCAGATTTCTCAGCCCCCTCCCTTTATATGTCATGCTTCAGCAATATCAGACAATTTGCTATTCCCAAATATTGTCCCACCCGCTTTCTTCTATGTACTTTTGCTCTCACAGTCCCCCATAGTTGAAATGGAATTCTCTTTCATTGCTACCTTTTGAAATCACTCCCTTATCCTATTCTGCCTTGTACCATAGTTTTTTTTTTGTTTGTTTGTTTATGAACATGGTGTCAAGCAAAGAGCCCTAAATTTGAGGTCAAAGGGATTCGATTCAAATCCCAGCTCTGGTTATTTAATACTTGTGTGACCTTGGGCAAGTTACTTGACTATGGACCTCATTGCCTATAAAATCAAGGGATTGAATGAAATGATCTCTAAGGTTCCTTTCAGCTTCTATGAATGTGTGGAACATCTTATCCCACCTTCGCATCCCCAGCAGGTAGGCCAGTGCCTTCCTTACTCATAGACAGGACTCAGGATTTCATTCCCAGTACAGATCAGTGTTTCCTCTTCAACTTGGAATCTTAGAGGATTTCTTGGACCACTGAGAGGGTGAGTGATTGACCAGGGTCACTAGACCAGTATGCATCAGCGGCAGGATTTAAACTCAAGTCTTTGTGACTCTAAAGCTCATACCATACTCCTTCTCGCCCTGCACGTAGTGATGAGTTAATAAACGTTTGTTGAACTGAGGAAAGAAGGAGATGTTTACATTAGGTTTACCCTTTGTCCTTTAACAAGAAGAGATAAAGTCAGGAAACTATTTGCCCTCCCAATGCACAAACAGAATATACCAGGACTATTTACAGACTGCTTTGAATTCCACTACTGTCTATTGCTCCTTTGGGTCCATTGGCCATTGCTCCTTTCTGACCCCCTGCCACAGGAGATAGTGGCCCCCTTATCAGGGAATGGGATCCTTTGATGTAGCAGGCCATCTGGCCCTGTATCTCCTCATGCTTCTCGGGAACAAACCCTACCTTCCAGTCAAACTGGACTGCTGGCCATCAGTCACATGATCTGGTCATCCACCAACCCCTTCCTGCTTTTATGTCTTTACATAGGTCATTCTTTCTCTCAGGAATAGATGCCCTCCATGTCCTTGCCTAAGGGCAGCTAGGTTGTACAGTGGAGAGAGCACCAGGCCTAGAGTCAGGAAGACTCCTCTTCCTGAGTTCCAATCTGGCCTCAGACACTTAGTAGCTATGTAACCTTGGGCAAGTCACTTAACCCTGTTTGCCTCAGTTTCCTCATCTGTAAAATGAGTTGGAGAAGAAAATGGCAAGCCACTCCAGTATCTCTGCCAAGAAAACCCCAAATGGGGTCACAAGAGTCAGGCACAACTGAAAATGATTCAGCAACCACAACAAAATATTCTTGTCTGTTGAAGGTCAAGTCGAGCTCTCCCTGATGCACTTTCCCCACTCCCCCCTCACCTCATGAAAGCAATTTCTTGATCGTCAACTTTCTCTTGGCATTTTGTCTTGATTCTTTGCATTCACAACACTCTACTGGTATCATATCTATTTTTAATTTTTTGTTGATGTCTTCTGTTTTCATATCATCCTCCCTTCTGAATCCTTTCATCTTCCCATCTTCCCTTGTAATAATGAATTAAAAAAAAACAGTGAAAAAAGCAGTTTAGCAAACTAGCCAATGATCATTCGAGCTTGACTATGCAATGTTCCACATCTGCAGTTCCTCACCTCTACAGAGAAAGCAGAGATACATTCTCTTGTCTCTCTCTTGAGGCCAGACTCGGTCATTATAATTACACAGCTTTTGTTTTCCAGTTTGTAGTTGGTAGTGATGGTCTTTCTGTTTATATTGTTTTGTTTTAAATTTTTCTTTTTTTCAATACTACAAACTTAACAAGCAAACATTTCAATATACAAAAGAACAGAAAAAGAGGATTGTATATGAAATCATGAATCAATTTTATGAACAGTTCAAGTTTTTTAAATATATATATTTATATATATACAAAATATATATATTTACATATTTTAAAGTATATATTCTAAATAGCATATTGTAGTATATAGTATATAGTAAATAGTGTATTGTAATAAGTAGCATATAATAGATGCTGTTAAATTACAGCACTGCCCTCCTTGTCTGTCCCCTTCTCAACTTTCTTCTGCTCTCTTGTCCATATTTTTATTCCATTCTCTTTCTTTTCTTTTGGTGCATCATTATCACTCCCTTTCCATTCCTCCTCCACAACTCTTTTCCCTTTCTCCCCCAAACAAATGCCCTCCCTTGCAATAAATATATATAGTTAAGCCAAACAAATTCCCTCATTGATTGGCTCTATCTGAAAATGCATATCTCATTTTGCACCTCTAGTCCATCCCCTCTCTGCCAAGGACACACTTTATCACTTCCGGAGTGATTAGCGATTATGAAGTTAATCAGTGTTCTTAAGTCTTTCAGAGCTATTTTCCTTTTAGACTGTTAAGAGCCACTGGGGATATTATATTGCTGGTATGGTTCACCTCACTTCTCTGAATTCTTAATGTTCATCATTCCTTATGGCACATTATACAGTATTGGTGCATCCACGTTTCATACACCCCCTCCGTTAGACTGTAAGTTTCTAAAGGGCAGGATTTGTCTCTTTCCTCCTTGTACTGAATCTGAGCCTTGTATTGAATCTGAGAGAGAGCTCATGACTGGTCTGGGACTGCTGGGATTCCCCCAAACCTACTAATTGGTGGCCTGAGGCTTCTAGCAATTTAAAGTGAATGCGACAAAGATAGATCTCCTTGTATTTCCTCTCAAGCCTTCCTTCTGCTCACCCTCTCATTACTTTAGGAGTGACCCCTTTTTCCCCTTAAACAAGAGAAGAACCTCAAAGCATCTTGGCTCCTCCGATGAATGAGTTTTGGCTTTCAGTATAGCCCAGATGGTCACTACAATGTAAGCACCACCCCTACACTGACTCCTTTCTCCTAGAAATCCTTCTACTTTCCAGCTAACAGAAGGCCATATGCCCTTTCTGACGTTTCTGGTTGGAGTTCTAGGATTTGAATTCTGCTATAGCGTCCCCCCTCCCAGACATACTTAGCAATATTTGTAACTAGAGAAAATAGCATGAAATCAGCTTTCAAAACCAGGATGCCTGAAGGGCTGTGGCCAAGTGATGGAGAGGAGGGGAAACGGAAGGAGTGGGTCCGGGGAAGCAGATCATTTGGTAGTTTCCTATTTTTTAAGGCAGCTACTTGGCACAGGGAAGGAGGAGAGGTAAGATGTGGAGTTATGAAGAGTTCAAATACTGCCTCAGGCACTTGCTAGTTGTGACCATGGGTTAGTCACTTAAACCTGTCCCAGTCTTAATTTCTCCATCTATACAATGGGGATAATAATAATAATAATAGTAGTACCTACCTCACAGAATTTTGGGGATAATCCTATGAGATAACATATGCAAAGGGCTTTATAAACCTTAAAGCACTATATAAATGTTAGGTCTTATTATTTTACTAATTCCTCTTGCTAACTAGGTACTGAGGTTTGTGGTTTCTTTGCTGCCAAATGACTACAAATGGTTACATTGCCCACTAAATTTAATGCCCTGGATCAAAGTTCTAGTCACCCTACCCTAGTTACAGCTCTGCATTCATATACTACAAACTTGTTTAGCCATTCCCCAACTGACGGGCTTCCTCTCAGTTCCCTTCTCAAAGATTCCTTCTCACTCCAACCTAATTGTGTGGCCCTCTAAATGCAATAGGGGTGAGAGAAAGGAGAGATCATCATAGGCTAGAATAAAGTGAAGGGGAACAAGGGAAAACCCAAGAGAAGGACTTCAAAGAAGTATCTATGAGTGGAAGTGGACTGTACAAGGATGGCACAGACCCCAGGCATGTACTTGATGCTGTATTGAAATAAAATAGGGTTATACATCATCATCATCTCCCTCCTCCTCCTCCTCCTCCTCCTCATCATCATCATCCAACCATAGGATTTACATCATTATTTAAGATTTACAAAGCACACTTTATAAATATTATTTCATGTGATCCTCACAATGACTCTGGGAGGTAGATGATATTATTATCTTCATTTTACTGCTGAGGAAACTGAGGCAGACAGAGGCTAAGTGATTTGCCCAAGGCCACCAAGCTAGTAAGCGTCGGAGGCCGATTTGAACTCAAGTACACGTATGTTCTAAGCAATGCTTTTCCACATTATCTGTATGTTGACTCAGTGCTAATTTTACATGTGTTTTCTGTATTTCCATTAATGTACATGGTGTTTCTCCGTTTAGAATGTAAACAACTTAAGGATAAGGACTGTTTGTGTTTTTTCTTTGTATCCTTAGCATTAGCACAGCGCCTGGCACTGTAAATGCTTAATCAATGCTTGTTGGCTGATCAATTGACTGATGCAGGAGATTAGTTTGTAGGGCCCATCGTTAACAGGTAGTCTATTAAAATTGAAATAATAATAACGTTTATAATAGGGTTATACTGTATCATCTTCTCCATCCTCATACGATTATTTTTTGCAAATAGGGAGAAACTGGGGTACGGATGGAGCCTTGTGATTTCCAGCATCCTATTAAAGAAGCCACCATATTAAACCATACCTTTCCCTTTCTGTCCTTCATCTCTTGCTAGGTTCTGGACAATTTAGACAGCCATCTCAAGAAATCTGAATATTTCCGATTTCTTTGGTTTCCCCACAGTGACAATGTCAGTGTCATCTACCAAGACCACACCAACAAGGTACCTGTATACTTCATTTTTTCAAAAAGAAGTAACTTTTGTTATGAACTTGATGATGCACAAATATGAAAACACATGTAGGATCTGTGATTTCATTGGTGTGGGGGTATTCCTAGTATAGAAAACTGCCTCCATCAACACAGATCACAGTCTATCTGTGGGCTTAGTAGATAAATCAGTATGGCTTAGTGGAAAGAATATTGGCTCTGGAGTCAGAGAAAGTGCTCTCATACCCCATCTGTGATGTTGACGACCTGTATGACTTTTGGCAAGTCACTTAAACTTGAAAGGTCCCAGTTTCCTCAAAATCCTGTTACTGAACATAGATATTCATTCAATAAGCATTTATTAAGCACCTACTATGTGCCAACCACTTTGCCAGGAACCAGGACTAGAGGGGGGAAATGAAATATTAGTCTCTGCCCTCAAATGAATTTGTAGTCTATTCAGGGAAAACAACATATATACAGACAAGTAAATACAAAATCTATAATAACAATAACAAAAACAGATAGCATTTATGTAGCATTTCAACATTTGCAGAGCACTTTACAAGTGTTATCTCACTTGACCTTCTCAATAACTCTTTGAAAAGGTGCTATTATCCCTGTTTTACAGGTGAAGAAACTGAGGTAGAGAGATATTAAGTAACTTGCCCAGGGCAATACAGCTAAATGTCTGAGGCTAGACTTGAACCCAGGTCTTCAACATTCCAAGTCCAGCACTCTATCCACTAAAGCACCTAACTCTCTCTCTCTCTCTAATAATAACAACAACAATAACAATAGCTAACATTTATATAGCACTTACTCTATGCCAAGCACTTTCCAATTATTATATCATTTGATCCTTTTACAACAACCTTGAGAGGTAGGTGCTATTATGATCCCCATTTTATAGATGTGGAAGCTGAGGCAAGTAGAGGTTAAGTGACTTGCCCAGGGTCATGAAGCTAGTCAGTGGCTGAGGCTGAATTTGAACTCAGGGCTTCCTGACTACAGGCCTAGTACACTCTACACACTATGCCACCTAGGTGCCCAAAGTAAATGTAATTTTGGAGGGAGGAGTACTAGCACCTGAGGGGAGGAGGAGGGGGATTAGGAAGTCAAACAAGCTACAAGCAATTATTAAGCACTTACTGTGTGCCAAGCACTGTTAGGTATTGGGGATAAAGAGGCAAAAAAGAAATGTGCCTTACCCTCAAGGAGCTTCCTAGTACAGGAATCAGTGCTTGAATTTGCTTCAAAGGACATTAGGGAGTCTCAGGTAAAGGTGAGCATTTGGGATTCATAAAGAAGCAAAAGTGATCTTCAGAGAGGTGGAGCAGACACTCTGAGGACCCTGCACGGCAGAGGTACAGGCCTTCTTCCAAATGTAAAAGAAAAATGACAGATAGAAAAGAAAAGGAGAGAGAGAACCTTGTTATGAAGCAGCCCACCCCAGAGGCCCTCTGCCATGTTCTGAAGAACCACAGCACATTCACCACAGCACAGCCATCTTGGACCTGGGGAGCAGTGACAGGTCTCCATCTAAGCAATAAGAAAGCTTCCCTCCCCTCCTTGCAAGATTCGCAGAAGGACAGTCTCTTCTCTGTTAGGATACTGGGCCACCCAGGTCAGTAGATTCCCTTCCTCTGCTCTTTTGTGACCACCGTTCTACTCCCCTAGCCACCCGCCTCGGCGGCCAACTGGTTCTGGGACTATGCCGTTGGATTCTACCTTCTGGAGTTCCTGCTCTGGGTCAGGTAGGACTGAGCTCATTGCTGGTTTGCAGAGTTTGCCATTTCTGCCAGGAATAGAAGGTCTCAAACCCCCGGCTCTGTTTCATCCTACTTCCTCCTGTCTGGCCATCTCCTGCACAGCCCCCCTTGGCAACTGCCTGACCACCCACACCAGAGACTCTCCTTCCCGACCTCCCCAATTCGCAGACCATCCCCTGTCTCTGGTTCTAGAACCATGAACCATGAGTAAATCTACTCTGCCACTGGTCTAGGATGGGGTGGGGTGTGTCCATATGCTTCCCCACCTTTACTTTCAAGACCAAAGTGCCCCTCCCTGGTCACTACCTTTCTAGCTGTGTTCTTTCCCCAGTTGGAATATAAGCTTCTTTCAAGCATGTGTCTTTTTTTGTTTTTGGATTAGTATCCCCAGCATTTAACACCCCATGGACAATATTGTCCATGGGTTTTCCTGGCAAAGATATTAGAATGGTTTGCCATTTCCTTCTCTGGTGGATTAAGGAAAAGAGAGGTTAAGTGAGTTGCCTAGGGTCATATAGCTAGTGAGTGTTTGGGGCTAGATTTGAACTCAGATCTTCCTGATTCCAGGCCCAGTACTGTATCCATTGCACCACCTAAATGCCTCCCAGGTAAACAGAGTTAAGTGACTTGTCCAAGGCCACACAGCTAGTAAGTGTCTGAGGCCAGATTTGAACTCATGTCTTCCTGATTCCAGGCCCATTGCTCCATCCACTGAGCCACCTCACTACTTCAGTCCTTAGTAAGCTCTTAATATCATTGCTTCATTCATAAATCTAGCACACCAGTAACCACTATTCCACAGTCAAGTTACCTGAAGGAAATACAGAGTAGTGAAAAGAACCCTAAACTTGGAGTCATAGGACCCATATTCAAATCCTGGCCCTGCTTATGTGACCTTGGGCCAGTCATTTAAGTCCTCTGGGCCTCAGTCTCCCCATCTGTAAAATGAGAGGGCTGGCTTGGTTGACCTAAGGTGTCTTGCAGTTCTTGATCTAAAATCCTATCACGGTTTTTATCTGTTATTACGGAGAAAAAGATACTAGGCTGACAGAGAATACGCTGGATTCTGCCCAGATTCTGCCCCACTTGGGGTTTGCTTCCTTTCTGTCTCCTTGTATTACTCAGTCTTTACTGACTGATAACTCAGGAAGGAGATGTGTACTGGATTTAGTGTCAGGAAGACTTTGGTTCAAAGCCCACCTCAGATACTAGCGGTGTCACACCAGGCAAGTCATCGCATCTCTTGGACTCAGTTTCCTCATCTGTAGAATGAGGCGGTTGGACTCTAAAGTCCCTTCCGGCTCTAAATCTATGGTCCTGTAACTCCAACTTTACTGGGGCAGGAGAGAGAACTGTCTCTACTTTTTGTTGTTATTGTTAACAGTTCAGTTGTTTCAGTTGTGTTTGACTCTTCATGTTTGCATTTGGAGTTTTCTTGATAGAGATACCAGAGTGATTTGCCACTTCCTTCTCCAGCTCATTTTACAGATAAGGAAATTAAGGCAAACAGGGTTAAGGGACTTGCCCAGGATCACCTGCTAAGTGTCTGAGGCCAGATTTGAACTTAGGAAGATGAGTCTCCCTGATTCCAAGCCCAGTACTTTGTGCACTATGGCGCCACCTAGCGGCCCAACTTTCTTATTTCTTTGGAAAACAGATTTGAGATTGGGTTTTAAAAAAAAGACTTTACCAGCAACCAAAGCAGGGGTTTTGTCCATGTTTGGTCATCTGGGAAAGTCAATGGACCTCTTCTCAGAATAATTTTTTTAATATTCATAATCAAAAGAAATTCTAAATTTCAGCTAGAGGTTACTGAAAAGAAAGATGTATTTTCCCTGTTCTAGTTCATAGATACCCTGAAATCTTTACATGGACCCCCAAATCTTAACTAAAGGGAGGAAAGAATAAATAAAACAAACCTTCAGAGAACAAGGTATTGGGTTTTTTTTTTAAATTTCAGAGCACGAGACTCTTGTCTGAGGAGCCCCAAATCTAGCCTTGCTCCTGGGGCATCAGCTCCTGGGGCTGATCAACATGCCCTTCCCATGTGACCAGCGTCTTTGGCTGGTCCTTGGTCTCAGTGGAAGGAGTTTCAGGAGGGTTAAGCACAGGCCCCCGAGCCAGGCTGAATGCCTTAGTTGTCTGTTCTAGGACAGTTGTCCTGTCCCAAGACATCCTGCCCCAGCTGTAGGGGGTCTCATTTCTTCATCTTTTCTTTCTAGCTATGACTGACCATCTACCCTTTAGCCAGAATCCAGTCTTCAAGCTAAGAGATCATACTGGGCCCATAGTTATCATAGAGCCAAGATTTTGTGAGGGTCTTTGGGTGGTCAGAAACTGCCCTGCTCTAATCAGGACTCTATTTGTGCATTTCTAGATTTGGAGCAGGAAAGAAATGTAGAGATGGCCCAGTCCAGCCCCATCATATTTCTGGTGAATACTTGAAGCCCAGAGGGGCTGCCCTAAAAACCAACCTAAGCAAAAATCAAAAATTTCTGGGAGAGAAAATGGAGCTGGCAGCCTTCATCTTACTTTCCACCAGCAACTAAAATCTACTGTGCTCCCTACCCTGACAAATTATTGGCACTTAAAAGTTACCTCCATTTCACAGGGAGGTCATTCAGGGCACCCAGATTATAGATTGTAAAAAAGGATGGAAAATGCCACATCAGAGTCTTTCTTCATGGCCACAAATTTCATTACTAACAGCATGACAGCTTTATGTGTTTGTGTCAGTGAAGTTAATGTCCAGGGAATAAATTAAGCCCTAAATCAAAGTTGCAGCCTTTCTATTACAGCCTTTCTGCTGAATGCAGTCCTTCTTTGGCACCCTCCTTTCTAAGTCTGCTCAGGAGCTAGTCCAGATTTTTTATGTCTGCCATCCAATCAATTAATTCTACCTGAACAAAACTCTTTTTTTCCCCTGAAATAAGATAGGAATGTGCTGACCCTTTATTTTTATTTCATCTCATTTTTTACTGTTATCTTTAACTGTTTAATCACCTTTATTTCTAAATATATCCCTTTCCCCATAATTATTTAAATTAACATCAACATTAGTAATTATGGTCATAATTAACAATGTTAACAGAATACTAATTATTCATTGCAATTAATAATATAACAGTAATTAATAAAATTAATAATATTAACTAGTTAAGTTAATATCTATTTTTAAAGCATTTTCAGCAAAACCAACCTAAAAATCAATTATGTCTGAGAGTATATGAAATATTCCACACCCATAGTCCCCCACTTCTGCAAAGAAGGAAGAAAGGGACATTTTTTTTCATGTCTTCTTTAGGGCCAAGCTCGGTCTTAATAATCACAACATGTTCGGTTTGGAGGTTTTATCCTTTCAATTTACATTAAATCATTGTGCATATTTTTTTCCTGATTCTGCTTATTTCACTATTGGTTCATATAAGTCTTGTTTAGCAAGACTTAGCACAGTAACTGACACACAGTAGGTACTTAATAAATGTTTATTGATTATTGATTACATCTCTGAATTCTTTATATTCTCCCCTTTTAACAGCACAGTGAGGTTCCATCACATTCATGTACCATAACTTATTTACTGATTACCTAATCGATCAGCACTTAACTTTGGTTTCAGTTTTTTACTACCCAAAAAAAGGGTCCAAGTTCCTTTAATAAAGTGTAGCTGAGCACAAAGTGGGTTAAAGACTTGCCTTCTCTTAGCTCAGGATAACAGATTGAGAGCTGGAAGGATTCCCAGTTTTATAAATGAGCAAACTGGAGGCTCCATTAATTTTCTCCACCTGAACAATAACCCCACGGGCTAAGTACAAGTTGTAGATGATGAAAGGCTGCTCCATCTTTAGTTAGCAAGTCCTCTTGATTCTCCCTCTGTTGTATCTATCACACCCATGTCCTATCTCTCCATTACTACTATACAGGTGAGTAGGATCCTGGAGTTATTGAAATAGAACTAGAATGTGGTGAGACCCAGAAAGAGGCTTGTAGTGCGGCAATTACAACATTGTGTTGGACTCCTCCATCCCTTGCATGTTTGCTGATACCTTCACAACCAAATGTTAGTTTATTATGGGAAGGAATATGGGAGGGAAAGGAAAGTGTAGGTGTTTGTGTATGTGTATGTGTGTTTGTGTGTGCGTGTGTGCACGTGTGTGCATGTGTACATGTGTGTAATGTGTGTACATGTGCGTGTGTATGTACGTGTGTGTGTGTGTGTGTGTGTGTGTGTGTGTGTGTGTAAGCTCTCAGGGGATCAGGACCATGCCATCTACTGCTTTCGTCCACCATAGAAACTTACACAGAGCTAAGTTCATTATAGACGCTAAAAAGTCTTTGCTGAATCTATGAATTGATATTTTATAGACAGCAGGTGGATAGAGCACTGGCCCTGAAGTCAGGAGGACCTGAGTTCCAGCCTCAGACCAAACACTTGACACTTTCTAGCTGTGTGACCCTGGGCAAGTCACCTAACCCTCTTTGCCTCAATTTTCCTCAGTAAAATGAACTAGAGAAGGAAGTGACGAATCACTCCAGTATCTTTGCCAAGAAAACCCCAAATGGGGTCACTAAGAGTTGGACACAACTCCACAACAATAACAACAACAAAGCTCTTCCTCTTTGTGTATCAGTGAATTAATGATGTGGAGGTGAGAGTTAGGGAAGAAACAGTAGAAGAGGTCCAAAGATTATAAGAGGGGGGCTGATCAATTTGATGAGTTCCCCCAATGAATTTGAGAAGATCACAGGACAGGAGATTTTGAAGGCATGTGAGGGGCACCTCTGCCATCATGGAGTGTGACTATGCCCTCTGGTTCTACTGGCTCCTTACTTAGGGTGATAATTTGCTGCTGTGGGGTCTCCCAGTTCCCTCATCTTGAAAGGCAGTGTGGTTTATTGGATAGAATGCTAGACTTGGGAGTTGGGAAAACCTGGGCTGGAGTCTTACCTCTGAGACATACCTGCTGTGTGATCAAGGGCAAATCTCTTAACCCCTCTGAGCCTGTCTCCTCATCTGTAGAATGGGGTCATATCGCCCACAGCACCTCCCTCACTGTGGTAGTGAGGCTCAAATGAATTAAGGTATGTAAGTGCTATATGATGTCAGGGATGAGTCTCAGGGTGATGCCTCCTGACAATAATGCCGCGTTTCTTCCCAGCACCTTCCTGCCCCGCCTCGTGCACTGGATCAATCGCTTTTTCTTCTGGCTTCTATTCTCCAACAAGGTGGAGAGCAGTGATATCAGCTACAAGATTCTCAACTACGAGTGTCGTTTCAAGCAGTACGTCCAGGACTGGGCCATCCCCATGTACGGTGCCGCTTCAGGATTAGTACATTCAGTAGAAGTAACACGGCTTGTTGTGTGTAATTGAGAAACCAGGAAGCTTGCTTCCCCGGGCTGAGGCATCGACGCTGGGGTGGATGGCAGTGGGTGGGAATGCTCCCTCACTGTGTTAAATATTCTCACACACCAATAAGCCGCCGGAAGGGGAACTGGAGGAAATCCAGGTAAACCACAGCGGTGAAACAAGAAGTGATAAATGTGATACCCATAGAAGGTTCTCTCCTTCCTTTCCTCTTAGTTTCTGATTTTCACTTGCAAAAAAATCTCTCAATTATTTCTTTGATTCTTACTTGGTTCCTAATCTCTCCTAACTTACTACATTTCCTGCTCACCCGTTTGAGCTGGCTACAATAGTGGAGTAACCCCAAAAAGCTTGTGATCGTCCACAGGAGAAATCATTGCTTTGCCATTTTCCCATCCCCGTTCCCAGTCTTACTCCTGGTGCTGAGAGTCTTTATCCAGACTTCTCTATTTCCCCACTATAATTGACATCCAACTGACAAGCAGTATGGGTCACTCATTTTTTACTCTTACATTAGGAATAACAGTAAGAGAGAAGGACAGAAAGCAAAGGGGAAGGGGGAGTGGCTGGAAAGGCTGATGGATCCAGGTCATGGGAAATTATAGCAGCAGGTGCGAATGATTCAGGCTGCCGGAGCTTGCTCAGGCCCCTTCTGCCTCACTGGGAGGAGGGCAAGCTGATTTTGGATGAATAGTTCAGTTTGAGGGGTATGGAAGGAAGGGCAGAGTTCACCTCACCTAACTGCGCTCAGGCTATGAGGCCTTGTCAGGTGTTCAGCACGCGAAGGACCCTGCCTGATGCTCCCGGGATGGTGGCTCCATGCAGTAGTCAGAATCTTTATTGAGAATGACTCTAGAGGCAGCTAGGTGGTACAGTAGATAGAGCACTGGCCCTGAAGTCAGGAGGACCTGAGTTCAAATCCAGCCTCAGACCAAACACTTGACACTTACTAGCTGTGTGACCCTGGGCAAGTCACTTAACCCCAATTGCCTAAAAAAAAATTAAAAAGTGAGTTTAAAAAATAGATCTAAACAGGATGACTCTACAAAGTCTGCATGGTATGATGATGGAGGATGACTTCTCAACTTAACTTCTTTTCTCTGTACACAAATTCCTTGCTGACGCATCCAGAAACCCACCACTTTCGTGATGTCAGTGACATTTGGGATCCTAGAAAGGCATCTTCACAGCTAGATTCCAATAAAGGATGGGGGGTGGAGAGGAGGCAAGAATAAGCATTTATATAGCACCTACTATGTGCTAGCCATTGTGCTAAGTGCTTTATAAACATTATTTCATTTTATCCTCACAATAATCCTGAGAATATTGTCCTCATTTTACAGACAAAGAAACCAAGACAAACAGAGGTTAAGTAACTTGCCCAGGGTCACACAGCTAGCACTTATCTAAAGCTGGATTTGAACTGAGGTCTTCCTGACTTCAAACATAGCACTCTATCCACTGTGCCACCTAGCTGCCCCTACTGAAGTTCTACCAAGTTGGAACCTCAGTAGATCAATCAATGAATTTATTAAATGCCTACTATGTGCCAGGCACTGTGCTAAGTGCTGGATGAGACAAATGTCATAGACTGAGGAGACCAGGAATACTTCCTCACCCTTCCTTTACCTCCCTCTGTCTTTCATCAAGTAAAGTAACCAGATTGCCACAAAGTTGCCCCTATCATCTCTCTTGCAACTGATAGTTTGCATTCAGACATTTAAAATTTGGTTATTGTTAATATTAATATTGATGTTTATCATTAATAATAGCTCACTTCTATATAGCATTTTGTGGTTCTATAGTAATTGTATATATGCTAATCACTCTGCTTAATCATTGCACCACCTCTGTGCTGGTACCTGTGGGGTATATAGTACAAGGATTTATTTTTTAAATGAGAGGCAGCTTGTACAATGGGGCAGCAAGATGGCTCAGTGCATAAAGTGCTGGATTTGAGTTCAAATCTGGCCTCAGACACTTACCAGCTGTATGACCCCAGGCAAGTCACTTAACCCCTGTTTACCTTAATCCACTGGAGAAGGAAATGGCAAACCACTCCAGTATTCTTGCCAAGAGAACTCCACGGACAATAGGGTCCACATGGTCACAAAGAGTCAGACTTGACTGAACAACAACACGGTACAGTGGAAAGGGACCCAGATGTGGAGTCGGAGAGTCAGAAGCCTGGCTCTGAGTCTTACCATCTCTGTGACACAGCCTCTCTGGCCTCAGTTCCCTCATCTGTAAAAATGAGAAGGCCTCTCAGGTCCATTCTAGCCCTCAATCTGTGATCCCAAGACCTGTGATTTCCTCCACGTGAGAAACTTTTAGTGTGGAAACTGCATTTTGCTGATGTACATCAGCTAAGTCTACGACTTAGTCTTCGCAAGTTGACTTGCTTGTCCAAGGTCTGGATGACTTGGGCTCTCTCTCCCATCCTGCCTCTGACACATCCTGACTGGGTGGGCAAGTCACTTAGTGCCCTCAGGCAAGTAAGACAGAAATGGCCAAGCAGTTGAACATCAGGGCTGGTGGAGGGAGTTTCCTCACTGGGAGTGACCTATAACAATGATGCTATAAGGAATAACAACAACAAAAAGAAAAATGTTGCAGCCACATGGAATGTGCACTAGATGAGGAGTCCTGGAAACCTGATTTCAAGTCCTTGGTCCAAATCCACTTCCTTGGAACAGAAGGAGGCAGTGTGGCATAGTGGACAAAGCATTGGTTCTGGAGTCAGAGGAGAGGGCCCAAGGTCAAATCCTGCCACGGACAGTCTCTACTTGTATGATCACTTAACTGCACTGGGACAAAGTGTCCTCATCTGTCAAATAATGGTGTCATGGGACGAGTGGCCACCGAGGTCCTTTCCAGATCCCCAGTGAAATCTGCTAGTTGGGGGACATTGGGTAAATCACTTAACCTCTGGCTGAGTCCATTTTCTTGTCTCTAAAAGGAAAATAATATCTGATCTGCCTGTCTCACAGGACTGTTCTGAGGAAAACACTATGCAAATCTCTAAAGGCTACAAATATATTTTCAAGGCTATAGAGTGTCCTCAATCACTTAACAAATATCAATTAAGTGCTTACTGCAAACAGGTGTTAAGAGAATTCAGGCATACTGATTGCCTAATACATCATTCAATTGTTTCCATCGTGTCTGATTTTTCATGACCCCATTTGGGGTTTTCTTGTCAAAGATACTGGAGTGGTTTACCATTTCCTCTTCTAGCTTATTTTACTGATGAGGAAACTGAGGCAAACAGGGTTAAGTGACTTGCCCAGGGTCACACAGCATATCAAAGTCAGTTCTGTATCCCCCAGCTCACCTTGCCTTTCTCTAAGTCCCTCCATTTACTTACCTTGTGTTCAGACAGACTCCCTATCTGAAGATGGTACTGGTGTCAGAGTGTCACCTCTGCAGCAATGTAAAAGAGGTGGGGGTCAGGTTTCAGGGTCCATGGACAGAAGCACTAGACCACGGGTGGGGAAACTATGGCCTCAAAGCCACATGTGGCCCTCTAGGTCCTCAGGTGTGTCCCTTTGATTGAATCCAAACTTCACAGAACAAATCCCCCTGATAAAAGGATTTGTTCTGTAAAACTTGGACTCAGTCAAAAGGCCACATGTGGCCTCAAGGCCCCACCCCCGCACTAGACCCTTGAGTCAAACTAACACCCTGTGATCTCATTCTATTTATTTCCCTGGGGCCTGGGTACAGTGAAAACACAGCGGAGGCCATGCTGGACCTGAAAACCATGCTGGAGAAGAATCCCAAGGTGGTGGCCCATTTCCCCGTGGAAGTGCGGTTCGTGAAGGGAGATGACATCCTACTCAGTCCATGTTTCCAGAAGGACAGTTGCTACATGAACATCATCATGTACAGGTACAGGGTGGTGCATTTGCAAACTCCCCCCACCAATGCAGGCTGGTAGGGATGAAGGGCCAGACCTGGGTCCTCCATCTATTGAACTGGATGACTGAGGAAACCAGCGAGCGAGTCTGCTGCCAGTCTGTCTAACTTTTCTAGCAAACCTTAGACGGAGCCCTGATTTTGTGACAATGAAGGAATATGGGTCTTCTTGGCGTATTTTTGCCTACGGTAAAACCATTGGATTGTATGCACTACCTCCCTGGAGCTGTCAGGGTCCAAATCGTAGACACACTGTAAAGCATTCCCTTATTTTGTATATATGAATAATTTTCCCCTTTCTTTGAACCCTTTGGGGTATAGGCCTAGTAGTGACATCATTGGCTCAAAGAGTGTGCATAATTAGGGTATAGTGCCAAAATAATTTCCAGAATGGCTAGACCACTTCATGGCTCTGTCAGTAGTACGCTAATGTGTGTCAACAAGGATTTATTAAGCACTAACTTTGATTAGTCATACAAAGACAAAAATAAAACAATCCCTGCCCTCAGGAAGATTACATTCTACCAAAGAGAAACAATTGTATACATATGAGTATATAAATAACATATAATGAGTATATAAATAATAAAATAAATACAAAACAATATCAGGGCATCACATAAGACATAGTGCTTGAACTCAGCTTTTTTTAAATTAATATATTTTATTTTTTCAAATTACATGCAAAGATAATTTTCAAAATTCATTTTTTGAAAGATTTTGAATTCTAATTTTTCTCCCTCTCTCCTGCCCTTTTCCCCTCCCCAAAATGGCAAACAATCTGGTACAGATCACACATATGCAATCATGTAAAACCTATTTCCACATTAGTCATGTTCTGAAAAAAGAAACAGAACAAAAGGAGAAAAAAAACATGAAAAAAAGTGAAAATAGTATGCTTCAATCTGCATTCAGACTCCATAGTTCTTTCTCTGGCTGTGGATAACATTTTCTATCATGAGTCTTTTGGAATTATCTTGGAATATTGTACTGCTGAGAAGAGCTAAGTTAATCATAATTGATTACACCTAATATTGCTGTTATTGTGTACAATGTTCTCCTGGTTCTGTTCACTTCACTCAGCATCCATTCATGTAAGTTCTTCCAGTTTTTTTCTGAAATCCACTTGCTCATCTTTTCTTATAGTATTCCATTATATTTATATATTACAACTTGTTCAGCCATTCCCCAATTGATGGGCATCCCCTCAATTTCCAATTCTTTGCCACCACAAAAAGAGCTGCTATAAATATTTTTTCTACATGTAGGCCCTTTCCCCTTTTTTATGATCTCATTGGAATATAGATCTAGTGGTGTTATTGCTGGTTCAAAGGGTATGCACAGTTTTATAGCCCTTTGGGCATAGTTCCAAATTGTTTTCCAAAATGGTTGGATCAATTGAATTCAGCTTTGAAGGAGGCTAGGAATTCAAAGGCACAGGGGATGGGGGGAGCAGAGAGAGAGAGACATAAATTCTTCTCACTACTTATTACTCCAAAAATGAACTCTTGCCTAAACCCACCATTATTTCAATCTTGAAGATAACATTGATGGGGGGTCTCTTTCTCTTTCTATCAGGTCAGCAAGGTAAAAATTTGGGTTTCCATATTCTCTCTCTCTCTTTCTCTCTCTCTCTCTCTCTCTCTCTGTCTCCATCCAAACCTTTCCTTATGGCCTCCATACCATATATAAAATGAATATATCATTAAAATCAATTTCCTTCTTGGGCATTATTGTAGATTTCCAATGTTTTCCTTTTCTCATTTTTCTCCTTTGCATTTTTGGCATAAAGGAACTTTCAGTATAAAGCCAATTCTCATGGTCCCTATATAAAGGAGCTCATAGGTCTTGATTCATTTATAGCCAAGTTAATACATCCCTTACATATGAAACACCACCCAGCTGGGAAACCACAAGGGCTTCCTCTCCTTCCCAAGTGCCTCCTCTTGGAATTTCTTTTTCTTCCCATCTCTTCACACTTAAAGCATATAAGGAATACATAATAGCTACTTCCAAATATATGAAGGGTTGTCTCCTTGGTCCCAGAAGGGAGAACCAGATAGGGCATTGCCAAATTGTGGAGGGCCTTGAATGCCAGAGAGGTGAATTTTGCTCAGTAGGAGATAGGAAGCCATTCAAGCATAGGAGTGAATTGTTCAGTACTATATTTTTCTGGCAGACCTGTGAAGGATGGATTGGAAGGCAGAGAGAGTAGAGATGAGAAGGCCTGCAGAAGTCCAAGAAGAAAGTAAGGAGAGCTCACCTATAATAAGATGGTGAAAATGGAAATAGAAAGGCCCTAGTTTCAAGAGAAGGTATGGAAGTGAAATTCCCAGAATTTGGCACATGAAAGAGAGGAAATAACTCTAAGATTTCAAACATGGAAGACAGGAAGATTGGTGGTGCCATAGACAGGAATTTTAAAGTCAGAGGAACAGGTTTAAAATGGAAGATCCCACATCCCATTGGGATGTTGAGCTTGAGGTGTCTATGGGACAGCCAGGAAGAGAGATCATGGAGGACATTGAGATGCAGATCTAGAACTCTGAAGGTTAGGACTATGGATAATAGGTTTTAGAATATACTACCTAGAGGCAATAGTTGAAACTATGAAAATTAATGAGATTGCCAAGGGAGGAGTGCAAGAAAAGAGCAGACTGGGGCAGCTAGGTGGCACAGTGCATAGAGCTCCAGCCTTGGAGTCAGGAGGACCTGAGTTCAAATGTGACCTCAGACACTTGACACTTAACTAGCTGTGTGACCCTGGGCAAGTCACTTAACCCCAATTGCCTCACCAAAAAAAAAAAAAAGCAAGAAAAGAGTAGACTCTTGGAGAACACGCACATTAGGGAATAGAGGAGATTAAAAAAAAAAATGAGATAAAAAAAATTGTTAAAAAGGTAGGAAAACCAGGAGAGTATGATGTCTCTAAAGCCAAGGCAGGAGAAAGGATTAAATGTCCAAGAAGATGAACACTGAATAATAGTGTAACACAAGCCCCAATATGAGGCCCTTTTGGTCATGTGCTGCCTTCCATAAGCCCTGGAAGACAATTTGTGTTTCTAATTACCTGGCAAGGGACGTTAGTTGAGTGCAATGTCTGAATTGCCCACCAGGTGGCCCTCTAATTGAGCCACAAGCCTTTTGTCAGTTCCAAAGGAATAGCCTTATCCAAAGAGGTTGCAATATCCCAGCTGGCCATGAGGGGGCACCTGTCTGAAAGGGCCCATCCTGCTCCCTCCCCCTGACGTTGCATTGTAGAAGCAGCTTTGTTGGCCATATTCCAATTTAATTTACGAAAGGAAACAGAGTATTGCTTAACATATAAAAATATGGAATCTGTTGTCTATAACTAGCTCTGAGGCCCCATCCTACAGTGCATTCCACTCTCTTCATTTACATTGCAATGCATTTATAAATTTAAGAGATTTAGCGTGTTGCATTCATATGCATAAAAATACTTGGAAAGGAAACTAGATCCCAAACTCCCATATGGAGACAGTTGTCTCCAACCATCTCCCTCATCCGGTCCTCCCCTTTCCCTCCCTGTCTTTTGATGTGGACTAAACACACATAATTTATAAACAGTAGAAGAACATTTGTTCCCCATCTTATGGTGGTGGATCAAAAAAAAAAGGGGGACAATAGTGAGAAGTTTCCCCTCCCCATCTCAGGATCCCAGATTAAAAAGGGAAAGCGCCTGAGAAATGAAAATCCATAATGTCTGTCATTCTCCACACTGCTGGACCTCTTTCCTCCTGGAGGCACCCAGTCACCATCTCTGCTCCAGAATCTGAAGTTCTCCTTGTGGTCCTGGTTTTCCCTCTGGTTGCCTCCTTCCTCATGGCCCCTGCAGATACATGAAAGTCATGGTTGTTTGTCCCTGGGCAGTAGTGCAGAAAGGTGTACCCTTCCATATTGTCTTTGCTCAGCCCAGCCTCTCCCATCTCTCTTCTCTCGCAGAAGTCCAAATGGCAAGGTCAGAGGAAAGAAGAGAGGAAATGAAAACAATGTTGCCGAGTATAGACAGCATCTCTCTAGCCTGTCCTATGACTTTTGTTCTCGGTATAAATGAGAGACTGGCCACTGTTTGGAGGCACCGTATCTGAGATAGCAAAGTTGTTGATCTGTTACTTTTGTCTGTAGTACAGTGCCCGGAGTTATAGCAATGGACTTAGGAGTGTTTAGTATTCACACGGAAGCAATGGGGAGACCCTTCAGATAGCCTGTTGTTTAAATACTTCCAGATACACACATCACAGAACCTTAAGCGGCGCTGGATGACTGGGACTTTTCCCTAGGGTGTTTAATTTAGAGGACACTGAAAATACATGCAGTTCTTTAGAAGGGGAAAGAAATAGTGCATTTATTCAGTGCCTGGCACTATGCTTAGTGCTTTACAAATATTATCTCCAATTTATCATAACAACCCTGGGAAGTAGGGACTATTGTGATCCCCATTTTACAGATGAGGAAACTGAGGCAGACAGCAGTTAAGTGACTTGCCTGGGGGGGGGCACAGCTAATAAGTAGCTAAGATGAGATTTGAACTCAAGTCTTCCTGACTCCAAGCCCAGCACTCTATACAGTGCACTACCTAGCTGCCTCACAATAGCTAGTATTTATATAGCACTAAAGTTTTCCAAGTATTTTACACATTTTATCTCATTTGATAGAAGCATAGAAACAAAAGAGCTTATCACTTAGCAAGATGAATGAGTTAAAATAGCATAACAACTTTCTTCTCCACAGTCACATCCCAGATGAGCTCCTTCCCTTGCTACCAGTCCCCCTTCTCCATCTCCCCTTTACTAAAAATAAAATAAAATAAAATAAAATAAAATAAGGAGCTATGAAGGTATGTTTAGTATATACTTGCTCCTGGGCATGGTTTACTCTATCCCATATGCAAATACTACTAGTTGTACAAGGCTCCTCTCTCTTCTTCTTCACCACATATATCCATTTGGCTGCCAAATTTTGTTGTTTTTACCCTCACAACATCTTTCCCACCATCGTTGTCTTTGCTCCTACTTAGGCACTCCTGAATGAAGTTGGAAAAATTATGAAATGATGCTCATTGGATCCATTGTGAATTTATGTTACATAATCTGAATCAGGCACTCACTGTGACAAGGCAATCCTTTTACACCTCCCTAATTAGCTCACCATGCCAAGCCAGAGCAGATTTTCCAGCCCTGTTCATCTCTCCTCCAAATGGCCATGGTTCCCCCTCTGCCCCTCAGCTGAGGGTCCCCTGCCTTGCACTTCACTAAAGAAGTTGAGGCCATTCTCTGAGAACTCCCTCATCTCCCCTCCTCCTCATCTCATATTACTCAGATACCTTCCGCCACTATTCCTCCATCACCCTTCTTTTACATGAGGGCTCTTCTCCTTGCCAAACTAGCCCCTCGACATGCATAAGTGATCCCACTCCATCTGATCTTCTCCAGCTCACTGTCCCTCTATGCTCGCCACTCTCATTAATCTTCAATCACTCCCTCCTGGCTTCTTCTCCAGTGCCTATAAACGTGTATGTGTCTTCTCCATCCTCAAAAAAAAAAAAAAAGAAAAACAAACCTTCACATGACTTATCCATCCCTGCTAACATCCTGTACCTCTCTGCATGACTAAGCTCCTTGAGAAGGCCATCTATAATCAGTATCTCCAAGTCACGTCAATAAGCATTTATTAAGGACCCACTTTGTGCCAAGAACTGTGTTAAGCTCCAGGGAGCTTTTGTTCCCATGTGCCAGGAAATATGCCTTTGTTCTCCGTGCCCCTAACCTCTTTCTGCTCCAATCTATCTTCCAAGCAGCTGCTAAAGTGATTTTTCTAAAGCTTGGGTCTGATCATGTTACCAATCCCCCAGCTTCAGTGTTTCCCTATTACTCCTAGGTTCAAACATAAACTCTTCCTGCTGACATTTTGTTTTCTTCACAACTTAGCCCCCTCCTACATTTTCAGTCTTCTCACACTTTATTCCCCTCCTCCAAACCTTGGCTCCAACTTCACCAGCCCAGTTACTCTCTCGCACGCACTGTGCTTGTTTCTGCACCTGCCTGGGCTCTTGCTCTCTCCCTCTCCTGGAATGTGATCTCTTTTTACTTCTTTCTGCCTCTTACAATCCCCTCAAGACTCAGCTCAATTGCCACCTGCTTCAAGAAACTTTTCCTGAGCCGTTACCTGCTAGCCCATATCGGGGTGTACGGTGTGTTCAGGGAAGACTAGCACCTATGGCTGCTTTCTACCTGTGGTGTCCACCTGATTCACCCAGCTCTGACCCGTAGCTCCAAGTAGCTGTAGCATGTGCGGTGGCTGCACCCTGGTAAACTGTTTTGGCAGACAAGCTAAACCAGGTCGAGGGTAACCTAGGAGTCTTTAAATTCATCAGTGAGTTAGGAGGGTGTCTGCCCCAAGAAGGTATCCCCTGGCAGAATGGGTAGATGATAACAAGTTGTTCCAACGGCTATGAAATTGGCTGAAGTGGGCGCTGTGGAGCACTTAGGGCTTGGTTAGACATCAAAGATGCCAAGGTCATCCACTACATCCCTGGTCATCACCCGTCATCCTGACTTTTGTCTTGCCACTGGGCTTTGATGATTGTGGAAGAGAGAGTGAGACTGGTGACTTTGAGCAACCTTGCCTCACTTAAATCCAATTTATGTGTGAATCAAGACATCACCCATACTATTGTAGCATTTTTATCTACTTCAGTGTCCTGTGGCAAAAGGCAAGTGATGAAGCAGCAGGTGCAGATACACTGGGAACTACAGTCACAACCCTGCATACAGGCAATCCAGGCCATAGGATCATCTTCTCACTGGACTGAAGATGTAGTGGGATTCGGCAATCCCCTGGGCATCTGAGCAGCCTTTTTGAAGGACTGTACCACTCACTTCCTGGCATTAGGAAGGAGCTAGAAAGGGTGCCCTAAAACTTGTCTGCTTCACCCAACCCTGGCCTGCATACTGTGGCAGGCAGGGATCCTACCCTGGAGTTGAAACACAAAAAATGGATGCCTCCATTCCTAAACTGAGATGGTATACATTGTGCTTAAACACCTTACTGGAGAAGGTTTCCATTATCTCAGCAAGACCAGTTAATCCGATAGGTTGCTTTTTTAATGTTGTGCTTCCATGCTGTTACTCTGCTCAATTGGGCTTTCTCCTTAACAGCGGCTATAGTATCTATCCCTTATAGTTTTAGATATAGCTGATGCCTTCAGCTGAGGAAGCACACTTCTTTTTTAGGAAATAAGCCATGACCTTTACTCCAAAGTTAGCAAAAGTTTCTCCAAGCCTACTCCTTTGCAGGATTCTTCTCCATAACAGATGGCAATGTAGAGAAGTATCTTCTGTGTTCTCTATTCTCCTCTGCCTCTCAGCAACAACACATAACAATGCAGGAATATATTTTCTGTCTCTTCTCGTTTTCTTTTCTTCTTTTCTTTTCTTCTCTTCTTTTTTCTCCTCTTTTCTCAGCAGCAAATCATAATAGAAAGCAGAATATATTCTCCCTATTTCTCCTTATCATCAGTAAGTCATAATAGAGGAGAGAGTATATTTTCTCCATTTCTTCTCAGCAATAGGCAATAGTAGTAGTTTCTCATTGGCCAACCTATGTGCGTGGCAACGAGTGACAGTGGAGAGGGAGTTATGGTGTGTTTTTTTTATGTAACTGAAATTTTATATAATTCTGAAACATAATTCTGCAAATTCTTTCCCTTCTGTCCCTTTTCTGTTACCTTTCTTGGTTCAACAGCAGTATTCTCTCAACAAAAGGTCATGCTTCAGTTTATATTTAGTAATCAAATTCTTATCCTCTGTCTATAACCAGAGGATAAGAATTTGATTACTAAATATAAATATATATTCTATAGATGATTCTATAATCATATGAACTATGCCTTTCCCATAATCACAGAACAGTTCTGGTATCCATGTTTCTCCAGGCATAGAGAACCTTTAGTTCTCTTTTTCCTCTAGTTACAAACCTTTAGCTCCCCAGTTCTTAAATCCTCCATACGGAAATCACTGAAGCCAATTGTATTTGCCATTTATTCCAAAGTTCCACAGCCTGTAAATGAGCAAGTACCATCTCAAACTAAAACTCCAAGCCAGACATAGTTTAGAACCTTGAGTCAGACTTAAGTCCCCACATTAATGAACTGTCAAATTGGACAACTCATCAACTGCTTTTTCTCTTAAAGTGAACTCTCAAAGATCACCTCCTTGTGTGTACCTGTCGTCTTTCCAATTAGAATTTAAGTTTCTTGAGCTCAGGGACTGTTTTTGTTTTTGTCTTTGTATCTCCAGGGATTAGTCCTGGAGATCGCACAAAATATGAGCTTAGTAAGTGGTAGTTGGTTCGTTGATTCACAACTATTTAACACAAAATCAGCTGGATTAATTATAAAATGCTGATACTATCAGAAGATTGATGAAAGGCTGTGTAATTGGAGGAAAGGGCTGGATAAGACAAAGAAGCTTGCATCAGAGAGTAGGTGGTAGGTGAGAAGATGAAGAGGTCAGCACAACAATAATGTGCTAGCTAAGGGATAGTTATCAGGAACTCAGCCCACAAATTCTGCCCTAGGGCTAGAGTTGTGTCAACAGCGTTAAACTACTAAAGTCCACTTAATCTGGTGCACAAAAGCAGGCCTTCATAAAAGAGTAATGCCCTAATCCTTTAACATCTTGAGAATGTATATTTTACAGGATATAGATTATAACTCCAGGAAATTGAAGCTCATAGTACATCAGCAAGAGTGAAGATCTCTAGAATTTTTTTTAAACTAGGTCTCTAATGGCTCATGATTTGGAAAGCATTTTTCTGTAACCACATCCTAAATAGTTCCTCTTGGTGTGGGACAAGAGGATTTTCAAAAAATATTCATTCTCCTGGTTCTGCTGAATTCCAACAAGAGTAAGAGCTGGGGTGTGTGCTCACTGACCTCAATGTGTTTTGTAGGCCCTATGGAAAGGATGTCCCACGCCTAGACTATTGGCTGGCCTATGAGCGCATCATGAAGAAGGTTGGAGGAAGGCCCCACTGGGCCAAGGTATGGACACCGTGCTGACTGAGCAGCTCAGGGTCTGAAAGCACTTCCTGGGAAACTTTCTGGCCCCAAGCAAAATGTGGTTTTGCTTAAATGAAAAGCAACTAAAAAATGTTAACTGAGTTTAAGGAGAACAGATGTCCCTTTGACCTCTATCCGACAACAACAAAACCCAAAACAGTACATCTAGAATAGCAGAATATGGCAAAAGGCAGAAGAATCTATTTGTTTTTAGGACCCAATTTCTCTTATCCATGTGACCCACAAGCACCAAGAGAGGGATGATAAGAAACCTTTAATGCATGATTTAAGGCTTCATTTTTGTTTTATGCCCTAAGAAGCCCTCCTCTTTGGAGGTAAGTAGAATATTGGACATGGGGTTAGGAAGACTTGGCTTCAAATCCTGCCTCAGATACCTACTAGCTCAGTGACTCTGGACATGTTACTTAACTTCTCATCACCTCAGTCTTCTCATCTGGAAAATGGGAATAATAATATCTACCAGTGCCTACTTAGGTAGGACTGTTGTGAGGCTTGAATGAGATCATCTGTCAACCTGCTTTCCAAACTTTAAATCATTATGTAAATGTCAGTTAAGAAGAGGCAGTGCTGCTTAATGGATAGAAGTAGGTCAGTAGGATCTGGGTTCAAGTCCTATGACATTTATGGTGAAAAGCACCTGAGCTCTCAATGCCCCCAAGCAATTCTCCCAAGACTCTATGGGCAGAGTTTCCCAAGCAGGAGTTCTCCCACACCAATGAGATCACAGATTCTGAACCTCCTCGCCCCATGTTTGACCTACTCCTGCTTCTTCTGTTGTTCTTGCTTTCACCTCTTGTTGGGGAATTCCCTCAAACAGGAGGAACAGGACTTCTTGGGAGAGGTGTACCCACCAGTGTTGGGGGGTAGGGTCTGATGAGTCAAAGATAGGAGGCCAAACCAAAAGAAAAGACATTTGTTCACATGCTCAGGAAGACCGCTGGCTTGATGATAGCAACCTCAGCTTCCTAGGGTATGGATTTAGTTTTTATGACCTTTCAGACTCACTTTAATAGTATTTTTTTTCCAATTACATGTCAAGATAGTTTTCAACACCCATTTTTGTAAAATTTTGAATTCCAAATTTTTCTCACTCTCTCCCTTCCCTCCCCCTTCCCCAAGACGGCAAGCAATCTGATATAGGCTATCCATACACAATCATGTTAAACATATTTCCACATTAGTCATATTGTGAAAGAAGAATCAGAACAAAAGGGGAAAACCACGAGAAAGAAAAAACAAAAACCAAAAAAAGTGAAAATAGTCTGCTTCGTTCTGTATTCAGACTCCGTAGTTCTTTCTCTGGATGTGAATAGCATTTTCCATCATGAGTCTTTTGGAATTGTCTTAGATCACTGCGTTGCTGAGAAGAACTAAATCTATCAAAGTCAGTCATTGCACAGTGTGGCTGTTACTGTGTACAATGTTCAGACTCACGTTAGGGTACGTAGCCCATCAGTTGCCTTGTGTGGCAATTTAGTATAGATAAGGAAAGCATTTCATGGGAGAAGGAGGGTAGGAAAAAAGAGCGAGCAATCAAAATAGAAAGTGGGGAGTATCTGGAATGCAATTGGAAGATTTATTATAAGAAAATATCCCCTGTTCATGGGCAGAAGACAAGAAGTGACCAAATACTTTTACAATTGTAAAAGAAGTCCTTTTAGACAAAACTACAGATTTCTTATCCTAGGACAATAAATACTTGTTACAAAGTGGATGGGAGCTTCATCAGGTCCTTTCATAGTTTATTATATTTTATTTTCTTTCAATAGGGATTGAGGACTTTCTAATATTAGGTCATTGGGTAGTTGGGAGATTTTTATATTATTAGTCCATCTAGATGTCTCACAATGATTGGTTCCTACTTTTCCTTACACAACAATGGGGTTGTTATGAGTCTCATAAAATGTTTGCAAGCTACTGCTATATATTTACATTACACTATTAGTCAAGTATTATTTGGTGAGACCTAATACATTCTGTGTGCAAATGTGTAAGCAAGTAGATGTGTATGACTGCTACAACTCTATCCCCTGCTAATGTCTTTTTGGCTCTCCTTCCCTGTCTAGGCACACACCTGCACCCGGAAAGACTTCGAGGAGATGTATCCATCGTTTCAGAAATTCTGTGCTATCCGGGAAAAATTGGACCCCACTGGAATGTTCCTGAATGCATACTTGGAGAAAGTGTTTTATTAAGAAAAGAGAGAATATGTGAAATAAATCTGGCTGCTTGCTCTAAGATATCCCAACTTTCCACTCCTACCGTCTCCTACTCCCCCTGGTATAGCACAGTATTAGACCAAATCTCAGATTCACAGAATTTCAGATGTTATCAGTTCCCTTCTATAGCATCTCCAAAAACCTGCAACTCTATCCATCTTCTACCTGACAACCTCCAGGGATGGGTACAGAGGCTGCCCATCCATTTCTGGACAATTCTAATTGTTAGGAAGTTTTTCCTTTTATTGAATAGAAATTGCATTTCTGCAGTTTCCACCCATTATTCATAATTCTGCCTTCAAGTAGAAAAGGTTTTCCATTTTCTACTTGTCAGTCCTTCAAACACTTAAAGATATTCCTCATGTCCTCTCCGTCCTCTAAACATTAAGTCTTTTCTTCTCCCTGTACCTAACCATAGGAAGGGACTTTAGAGGTCATGTAGTCTGACCCTATACATTATTTTACAGATGAGGAAACTGGGGCCCAGGGAGGTTAATATGACTTGCCCAAGGTTATATAGGTGGTATGTTGCAGAGACAGAATTGGAACATGGGTTTCTCTTTCTGAATCCAATGTTCTTCCCACTGCAGCAGGCTGCCTCCCAGCCCCAGTTTCTTCAAATGGACTGATTACAGCATGAACTGTGGCATGAACAACCAACCAGGTTGCCCTCTAACTTGTCAATATCTTTTCCTAAGATGTGGCACCCCAGAACATAGCATAAGCGACTCATTATCCTGATTATAAGGCCCCTAAAAGTCAATAAAGAAAGATCTCATACCCAACATGAACTTCACTTCTATGCACATACACCAGGTGTTTCTGTACCAGCCAGGCCAGAATGACCACAATATCAGATCTGCGTCAAGTGACTTCGTTTCTTATTATTGATGCTATAAATCAACTGTTTCAGATTAATTTCTCTCTCCCACCCCAATAGAATGAAAGTTCCTTGAGGGCAGGTCAGAAATTATTTCTCCTCCTCTTTCTCTTGCTCCTTATTTCTCCTCCTTATTTCTTCTCCTTCTTGTTATTCTTCTCCTTTGCCTCCTCCTTCTCCTCCATCTTCTCTTCCTCTTCTTCTTCCCTTTCTTCTTCCTCCTCCTCCTTTTTTCTTCTTTCTTATTTTTGGTAGCCTCTAGCACAGTGCCTGGCACTTTAGAAAGGATTGTTGAAGGAATGAACAAACATATAAGCATCACACACCTTCAACCACACAGCTTTCTTCAGTCTGATACTCATAAGCTTATCTTCCTCCATTAAACTTATTATTTTTTGCTGTCTTTTAATAAAATGCTTTATTGATGTCTTTCTTGTCTCTACATTGTTTTCCCCATACCACTTACCTTCAGATTCACCCCCCTTCTATTAAAGAAAAATAATTAAGCAAAAACACTGAATATAGACGTTATGTCTGACAAGGTATATAATATTCTGTCCTATTCATCCCACAACTTTTTGCCAAGTGGGAGGATATGTGTTTCATTATCTGTTCTCCTAAGTATTCACTGGTTTTTCCGTTACTCAGGATTCCACTTCCTTCTAGGGATATTTTTTATATATATAGTTGTAATTATTGCATATATATGTGATATGTGTACATTGTATATATATACATTTATGTGTATATATGTATATATGTGTATACACACATGTATGTGTGTATGTATGTATGTATGTATATATATGATGGCATGGCTTGAAAATGGCCAGAGAGTGGCATGCTGGTTCTGGCCATGTTAGACATTTAAAGATATAACTATTGACTTTGGATTCCTTTGCAAGATACTCCAGATTTTTCCTTTGTTTTGCCTTGTTTTCAATTTGTACCTGACCTAGGGTACTTTGAAAGAACGAATAAAGGGTAACTATGGAGAATAGAAGGAAGATATGCCCCTCACCAAGGACAAGTTTACAATCTATTTGGGGGAAATAAAACAGGTGAAACGTTATAGAATAATGTAGGGAGGGCAGCAATTGAAAGAGGTTCAAAGGGTATTTAGTCCCCATCGAGTCTCTTTCCGTCTTGTCCCTGGGAAAAGATTTGCACAGACCGTGATTGGCATGGTGGGAGTGGAAAGGAACTTTTAAAGTCTAAGTCAGCACAGAGGAGATCCGAAAGACAGACAAGTCCTAAAAGCTTATTTGGCTGACTCCCTATGAGCTAGATCTGAATCACAAATAGCTGAGGGAGCCCTTGGGACTATGAACTAAAAAAGCCGATATGTTCTTCCTCTAGGGCAAAGAGCAGCTGAAGACCATCGATGATAGAACAGAGCAGAGAATCGCCCAGCTCTGTGCTATTGCGTCCTATAGCTCAATGATGTCACCTGATCAGTGCTGACATCAGCAGATGTGAGGAGCAGTCAATAATAGAGTTAAAAATAAACAGAAATTCCAGCTGGAATACAGCTCTAGAAGCATGAGTCGCCCTGACTATTCACAACCCTTTCCCATTTGTGTCCCCTGGCCATATATATTCCCTATGCATGTAGCCCTCTGTCATGCATGGTGTGGAAATCTATGGGAGAGTGAGCCCCCAAGTGTATGAGGGAAATATTCATTGTCATTTATTTTGCTGTTTTGTTTAATTAAATGTCTTTTGCTCTTTACTCGCTGACCTGACTAGGCTGATAAAAAAGAAGAAAAAAATCATCATTGGGGCCCATGAGATATGTTGTTAAGTAGATGTTAGACCAAAGGTGGCTTTGAACCTGTGTTAGCTTTTGGGAGAGGCCCAAGTGGGACTGGCTCCTCCAGCCACAATAATACAAGTCAATATATGAGACCTCCACAGTCTATAAATTGAATTCCACCTTAGAAAGCTGTTTGCTTCTGGGACATAGTGGAGATAGAGAAGTACAGAGTAAATACAGTCAAACATGACTGAAACAACTAAATAATAGACTAAATACGGTATTGACATTCCCTGGATCCCTGGAAGAGAGAGAGCAGACCTCAGTGAGACAGCATGATAAAGTGGAAAGTTTGGAACTCAGAGTCACACACTGCCAATGCCACTTATTGCCTGTGTGACCTTGGGCCAGACAACTCTCTAGGCCTCAGCTTCCTCATCTCTGTAAAATGGGAGCAGTTGGACTAGGTTAGATCATCTCTAAGGTCCCTATGATCCTCTAGTGTGCTATGCTGGATTGGAATAGGGATGGAAAGCAGTGAAGGGAATGGGGGAATGATGGAGGACAAGGATAAATGTGGTTGTACTAGAGGCAAACCCCAGGACTGGCTATTTCAGGGAGGGGGAATGCAAGCCATCTTCCCACCCTACTCTTGGTCAATCACATAGAGTGTTAGATAGGGAAAGGAAATTAGCATCACACAACTTTTAGAACTAGAAGAAATCTTGGAGCAGAGTCTCCAAAGTGGGGAGTAGGGTACCCTGGAGGGACCAGTCTGACTCCCAGGGATATATGATAAACCACTCAAAAAGTAGGAAGATGAGGTGCATCCCACCCTCCTAGTAATAGCCAATCCTAGGGCTTGTCTCTAATGCAACCAAACTTGTCCTTATTGTCTATCATTCCATGCCTTCCACTATGCAAGCTCCCAACCTCTCCAGTTCTGACCTGGCTGTCGGACTACCAATCCTAACCATCACCTGGGCACCCACAACAGTAGCTGCTCAGGTGCCTTTGGGAAAATATCTTGCCTCGCAGCATCCTCAGCCTTGTGAGAGGGACTGAACCAGGCATCCTTGGAGGATAGGTTCCTGTGCACAAGGAAAATGAGCTGTGACTAAGAGCCCCTCCTCTTCATTTTGGGGGACGGTGAATCTCCCAGAATCAGCTGACCTTGGCGCGGGTTGTGATCTACACTTCAGATCTCATGTTATCTTCCCCATCCCACTACCCACATCCCACTCTTCCTCCAAACGTCTTTGTTTCTATTGAGGGTGCCAGGAACATCCCCATCACCCAGGTTCACAAACCTCTGTATCACCCTGGACTCCTCACTCTCATGCCACATATCCAGTCAGTTGCTGGATCTCCTGCTTTTAGCCTCTCCGCCATCTTTGCATCTGTCTTCTTTCTCTTCACACAGATACTACCCTATCTCAATCTCTTATTTTCTCTTGCCCAAGCTATCAAAATTCTTCTAACTGATCTCTCCAAGTCCTAACCCTCCTCTCTCAAATACATTGTCTGCCTAGATCTCAGAGTGATTTTCAAAAAACTTGGTGACCCTACTCCTGTGCTCAATATACTCTGCTGGCCCCCTCTTGACTTCAGGATGTAATATCATTTTATCCTTTTAAAATTTATGTTCTTCTGTCAGTTTTATATTTATAGAAGAGTTAGTATAGTAGTACATGTATGTGGGGCAACAAGGTGACACAGTGGGTAAAGCACTGGGTTTGGAATCATGAAGACTCATATTCGTGAGTTTAAATCTGGACTCCAACACTTACTAGTTGTGTGACCCTGGACAAGCCGCTTAACTTTGTATGCCTCAATTTCCTTATCTGTAAAATGAGCTGGAGAAGGAAATGGCAAACCATTCCAGTATCTCTGCCAAGAAAACCCCAAAATGGGGTCACAAAGAACCAGACAAGACTGAACAACAACATGTATGTTAATTATAAGTAATATGTACTTATCAGGAGGATGTGCTTCAAAATTCTTTTTCTAATAAGGGTGAATGGTCAAAAAACTCTGAAGACCTTAGAGAGAGAAGCTGAAATTGGTGTCCAAGGAGATGCTGCTAATTCAAGAAGAGCTATCTACAGAGTATAACCAGAGATCCTTAAGGTTGCATAAAAATTGCAAACTCATACTAGGTGGAAGAGAGGGAGTTAGATCCTCGGCAGGATTCAAAGATGTTTATGACAAGGGATTATTTATATATAATACCTCTTTCAGATCTAAAATGTATAGAGAACTGTTTGTAAGTTAGTAGATAAGCCTTCAAAAGTTTCCTAAGATTCCAAGGGGTCACAATTTTCTAAGTGTCAGAAGTGAGCTTTGAATTTAGTTCTTTCTGATCCCACCTGGCCCCTTCTTA